GAACATAAACGCACCAGTGTAAATGTAGCCTTACATCTAAGGGGGCTTGGACGCATTCGCACTACAGCCTTACGTGTGCGCCACATCTCTTGAGTGTAACCGGTGTAAACTAGTAGGTGTGTTTGACTTGACGCGGACCGACTGTGCAGACCGGTCGGTGTATTACAGTACCACGAGAGCTAAGAGAGCAGACTGCTCCGTGCGCTTTCGAATCGCTCTCGCGGATGTCAAACACTGATCGATCTGTCGTGTGTTGCAGGCTTATTGGCTCACTGACGCTGATGAGATTAACCCCTTAGGTATCGAAATTTGGTACCGAATGATGAGACGTTTATCGATACTCGATGGTATCGAGGCAATTCAGTCGGTGCCTAAAAAGTATTGAACTTGATACCCAGCCCTAGGCACATCGATATTGAACTTCTGGGCCGATATAAATAAACAAAAATTGCAGTTTTGCATTTAAACACTTTAAAACCAACTGGAGTGGCTAGTTTATAAAAAAAAAAAAACAACAACACTTACTTAAATGTAGCCGCTTTCAAAATGTGAAAAACTCTTAACTATTGCTTTTTCAACAGGCAAAAAAGGGTCCACTCTCAATAATCGATGTATGAATCGCAGCTCACATAGAAGTCACTTTCAATCAAGAAGCTTTCCGTAGGTCAACGTGGCAAATTCGCTTGACCAGCTTGATCAGTGGTTGACCAATACACAGCCAAAGCAATCAATCCATCAATTTATTTTACAAATGTATTTTTCAAGTTCAAATAATTTTTTTCTAATTTAGTAAATATTACATAAAATAAATACATTTCATTTCAGCAACTGTTATGCATGTGTCTTTAAAATGAATAGTGTGATATTGTATACATATTTTATATCATGGAGAAATCTTTCAGAAAAATGTTTGGTGTAGAAATTCACCAAAATGTGACTTCTAGTGCTGAATTTGGATTTAGTGCTCAAATGCAATTTAATTTAATTTGATTTATTTTTCACTTTATTTTTTAAATGTGTTCAATATTAGATTTGACGCGAGAACAAAACTTCACTAAGCATTATTTGTAACGTGCCACCCAGCCAATAATCGCAATAAACTTTGTTCTTTGTTACTTTTCATATGAAACAAAGTCTGAGCTTTCAAATTCAAAGTCAATTTTATTGTGAAATTCCAACAATAAATGTGATTTTGGTGCTCTTTAATGTGGCGTTACAGATCGCCTTGTAGCTGCCTCAGTTCAAGTGACAGTCATATTTTTCCAGGGTATATTATTTTATAACTTTTCCAGCTCTAGATGTATGTGAATATTAAAACCCCTAGTAAGCCTCACTGTTTTGAGCAATGCCTTTAATGCCCACAAATGTATTGTCACGAATGGAGTGAGCTGGGGGAGAGTTTTACCTGTTCGTGCCCTTGATTCTTCCTCTGCAGGTGTGTATCGTGGCAGTGTGCTGCTCTGGATGGCCTCTGAAAATGGCCGGACCTTCTGTCCAATGTCAGACGAGCTCTTCTGAATAATGGGCCGCATGTCCTGTTCTGACTGAGGCCGGATTAGTTTCCCATCAGACACCTGTTTCACAGGTTCTGGCCTCCTGACGTCTCTCCTTTCTCTCTCGTCTTTTCTGTCTCTCTCCTCGCGTCTAACCTGTTCCTCTCTTCTTTCCCTGTCTTCCCTCCTTTCGCTCTGCTCCTTTCGCTCTCGCTCGTCTACTCTCTCGGGCTCATCCCGCCTTTCGTGATCCTCTTTCCTGTCTCGTGGCTGTTTCCTATCCCTGTTTTCTCTCCAGTCCTTCTCTTCCCGCTTTTCCCTGTCATTCCGCCTCTCTTTCTCGCGTTCATCTTGATCACCTTTTCCATGCCTGTCCTCTTTATCAGGCCTCTTGTCTCGTCTGTCTCGGTCATCTATACGTTCGCCTCTTCCTTCCCTGTCTTCTCTTCTATCCCGTCGTTCTCTGTCCCTGCTCGCTTTCTCATCTCTTTCCTCTCGCTGATACCGTCCCTCCTCCTGTCCTTGTCTTTCTCTCGGTAAAGATCCTGCTGGTCTCTCCACGTCTGACTCCAGTCGGCTGCGTCGGTCCGTTTCATGCGGTAACCGCGTCCGAGCGTCCACGTCCAGCGGCTGACGGTTGCGACTGACGTCGGAGGGCGCTCGGTTGCGGCGCTCCGGTTCAGGTGCGAGGCTGTTCCTCTGTTCTTCTCCTTGTGGCCGTGAAGATGGCGCCTTGACCTCTGAGCCTGTATCTGACCTGCGCTCTCCAGGCACTGGAGCAGTGTGGCCGTTCTTCACTGGAGGAGCTTTGTGATTCACGTCATTACTCTCTGAAACAGATGTGGATGGTGGATTTTGAGACAGAATACAACAGACCAAAGAAGAAACATGTCAGAGTGGATACTACAGGAGGTACGTTCATCACAACATTTGAACAACTGAATACAGAACAGTATGAAATGACGCAATGCTTAAACGTAATCTTACAGGCTGAATCACAGATGCTCAGAACAGGGTTTCACACATTTTGACCAATTTTCATGGTTTTTCCAGTTTATTAAAGGTATTAATAATAATGTTATTAGCCAGTAAAATGTATATTCCCTACAGATTTTTATTCTTATGTATTTTAAGCCTTTATAATTGACTTTTCCAGGCCTGAAAATCCCAATTTTAAAGTCACCATGAAATCAAAATGAACACTTCTTAGTTTTAACTGAATGTTTCAAGTGTTTATTATAAATGATTTATCTGTGCATATTATTATTATATTTTTTTTTTTAAGTGTTTCATAATCTTTAAATCAAAAACAATAACATGCCCCCTCGCAACAATTTTTTTTTCTCTGATGTGGGATCTTTCTGCTGACTTTAAAAATCCTGGTCTTCATTGACTGTGAACCAGTCTGAAACACCACAGTGTTTTCAATTATTCAATTATAGTGTTTCAACAATTATGTGTTTTCAAAACAGAAAAGAAAGAGAAGAACCACCATAAAGAAAAAGAAAACTATTTGTACTGCAGGATCATAAAAATGTTTTTGCATTGTGATGTTATTTTAATAACAAATACAGCATGATACATAAAAACATGCTTTGGACATGTTTATGACAGAATGAATCTCACAAAACCTTTCAAGCAATTAGGTTTTGAACAATCAAATTCAAAACAATGGGATACCATGACCATGCTGGGTTGCCGTACTATTTTCTGGGATGTCCTTCAGTAACCCTCGCTCTATCAGCTCCTCTCTGGGCTTCCTCATCGAAATCTTCCTCTCCAGCACTGATCGTTCAGAAAGAGAGCAGATACACATTAATCAGTCAAGCCACTGGTTTCAAAGGACAGCGAGTTTAAGGGGAATCCTAAATCCTAATTTAACCTCCCCTCAAAATGGACAATTGTGATTAATAATTGAAAAATTGAATGAATAACAAATTTAAACTGATCACTGTAACTTCCAAAAAAAAAAAAAGGTTGATATCAGAATTCAGTTCCAACAGAATCAGCATTATAAAATGACCGTATTCATTCAGTGTAGTTTAAGAGTCAGAAATGTTAACAGACAGGTACCTTCTGATGTCTCCTTGAACTTGTCACTGCTTCTCTTCTTCCTCCACTTCCAGGGTTTGAAGATCTTGCCCAGGCTGGAGAACTTGCCCTTGCCCTTTGCCGCAGGGGTTCCTGCTCCTGGAGGTGCTCCATCACTCTCCGGCACACTATGATCCACTTCAACATCTGGGGAGGAGCAGGAGGAAAGAGAGAGAGAAGTTTTGTATATTTATCATGCATTTCTAATCAGACACTGACAAGGGAAAAAAGACAACAAAATAAAACTAAAATGGCTAACTGTAATTCTAAAGGCTTGTTCACACCGGGACGAATATTGCAAGTGATTATTGTCGACGTTTAACGCCTCGTGATTAAACAAAGGGCGCCAATGTGAGTGTGCACACTGACGCGCAAAACGCGAGGTGTAAAAGCGTAATTTTTTTAAAAACGCCTCGGGCTCATTTTTTTGGTTTGACGTGCCGCGTTAAAAACTGGCCGACCAATGAGATTGGAACTTTTGTTCACGTGCCTGGAGCTGCTGAAGTTACAGTAAAGCACGACTTGGTGGCACTCAAGCACAAAACGGTCTTGCCGAGCACACTTGATACCTAACGACGAAGAGGAAGTAAGTAGACCAAGAAGATGCATCGAGGCAAGATGAATGCTGAGCTGCTGGTCTCATTGGTGTCTGAACACAAAGAGCTTTATGACAAATGCGACAGCGACTACAAAAATCTTGATAAGAGGGAGTTATTATGGAGAGGAATTGCAGAGCAAATAGGATTCGATGTGTACCGGGGTATTTCTGTTTTTCATTAAGTGCCATCTAATGTCAGGGAGTGAATCTGCACGTTCACTCGGCTCATCGCCTGCGAAAATCGCTTGGGTATGAACACAAAAGATGCATAAAAAAACGTCGGCGATAAGCACGCGCGATAATCGTCCCGGTGTGTACGAGGCTTAAGGTTGTGCACAGCTGTAAAATCCTGTTAAACAAACCTGTGACACATTCTATATTAGCGTGAAGCAGAATGCATGTAATATTTTTCTCACTTGAATTGCACACGAATGCTATTTAATACCAAACTGTCATATGGAAGCTGTGTTAAAAGCAGTGTTTGAAGATATGTGTCTCAATACATAGAAAGACAGTCAGAAAATGCAAACTACACCAAAATTAATTAAATGAATTGCTCTTCGTGTTGTGCATTTACAATTACTGTAACACACGGCCTCTCATGGATTATTTTTTTGTTACAGGAAAATATTTTCATAACAAACCATACATCATATATCAGATCCAAGAGTGTAAGAACACTCTAGATACAATTCATCAAACTACAGGACGTCCTGTCATGATGACGGTCAAAGCATGTGCTCAATTACAGTGAGACATTACACTGATATTACATGTGAAAACAGTAGTAGCACTAGCACATTGGGCCGGCCACTGACTCACTACAGAAACCTGAGTAAGACAACACACCCACCGCACTGCTACACATTCACAGTCTGTCGGATTACACAGTGTAATATGTTGCTAATATGGATTGACAAAACAATTACAACCCTTTCAACAGCCTAATGAGTCACATGTAACAACAGTGGGTGTTGATTCAGGAAAGTTATATGGATACTGAATACTTTACTCAAACAAGCCATGAGCTCACTGTGATTTACAGTTTACATGCAGTGACATCCAGCTGAGTTTTACAGATCTTGCTGCTACTAAACCCTCTACCTGTAGTCGCAGGTTACATTTTGGAGCGTATAAAAGTGTGCTTCAGTACATAATACCATAACTAGACCTAATCATGGCGCATCAAGCCACCAGGCCAGTTTCATGGTGTTTCACAACATCCCGCAGGAATCTGAGAGGTGTCAGCCGTTAATGTGCGTTTCAGACATTCAGCTGGTGACAGTACGGCTTTAACTGACATTTAAAGATAAACACTAACCACAGATCTTGTTCGCCTTGCAGGTTTAATTAATGTTGGGTTAACATGATTAGCTATTATGGGAAAACACAAGTTAAGGTTTATCGACAGTGTTATGAGGAAAATAAAATAATGTTCCCTTGACCTTCAGTTTATAAACAGCAACACTAATACTGGGGTCGAATACAAAAAGCCCTGAACATGACAGGCGAAAAAAACAAAACAAAAACAAAAAATTAAGATATAGTGGTGACAAAGTAAGAATTTGTTTGCATGACTAACTCATTTGTTGCACATTTTATTAATGTGTTTCCTCGTTTTAGGCCAATTTGTGGAACTTCTTTCTCCTGCTGTAAGTAAATAAATAAATGTATTTTATTTATTTACAGAAAATATTTTTGCCCTCATTCAATTTACTTAACTAAAATAAGATTAATAAATGTTTTGTCATAATTACATTTTGTTAGGTTAAATCCACTTACATTTTTAGAATTCAAGGGATAGTTCACCCAAAAATGAAAATTTGATGTTTATCTGCTTACCCCCAGGGCATCCAAGATGTAGGTGACTTTGTTTCTTCTAATCTTTTTTTTTTGGCCTACATGAATAATTTTTGTCGACATAACTAGACAGTAAAATTCTAGGACACAGCATGTATTGCATGGGACTGAATTTGGACAGTAAATTAAAATTAAGAGAAATTAGATGCGTTTGAGTAAATACAAAAATTTTCTTGTTTCCGCTATGCTTGCTCCACAGATTCCACAGTATATGCAATATGTCCCTTGTTTGAACAAATGCTAAGATGTTGTAACATAGGAAAGAGAAGGCTGTGCAATTCATTTTGCAAATGATGTATATTAAGCATAAATAACAAGACATAGAGACCGTTAAACTGGTCTGAAGACACAAGACAAGGCAGGTTGTATATGACACATGGGGAGGTTTGGAATGTTTATGGGTTTTGGCAGCCTTGTTGGCCTAGATGCTCTTAACTGATTTGGCAAGTGTTTGACAGCACACAGACCTAGTTTACTTCACTCAAACGGGATTTTTCCAACGAAAACACTTTACACGTGGAAAAAAACTTTAAATGAAGGTACGCAAAAACACACTAAAGTCAAAAACTACAAGCTCTGAAATAGTCAGTACATTCTGACTTGGTCTACTTACTGCTTACTGTAAAACACACTGTTCTCATGTTGTTTGGAAAAAGAAAGGCACGGTGACAAGAGAAAACAAGTTGGCTCATTGTCATGGCACCACAACCTTGATAAAACCGAATAATAAAGTAATTGAAGTGAATGTCGCACTATCAGAGCACAGGCCACAATATACCCAACACAATCAAGCACTGATCTTCACCTGACACACACACACACACACACACACACACACATCTCAATCAGTGTTTCTACGAAGCGCTCAGTGAGCCTCAATGAGCTCTTTGTTTCAGGAAGGCTGTGCATTCCTCTCATATCAGTGACATACGTGAGAATCTGATTAGTCGACTGCCCTGAACTCACTGAGAGCAACGTACAGCTATGATAATGGTAGAGGACATCACACACAGACGTCGAGGACACTGTGTGTAAATAAACACAGAGGTCAAGAGTGGATGGGAGAACTGAACGTGACAAACAGAAGATTCACGGCAACACCTTAAAACAACATGACAAGTCATCAGAAGGTGCTCGCCTGAAACTGAGGGATGAACAGAAATGTGTGTGAGTGTGTGTAACAGTACGCACTAGTGCTGCTGCTTATTTGAGCCCTAATGAGAGAACTATTTTTGTTGCAGACGGTTGGGGTCAGTAATATTTGTTGTGTATGTTTCTGAATGAAGCCCTTATGCTCACCAAGCCTGCTTTTATTTGATCGAAAATACAGTAAAAACTGTAATATTGTTAAAATATTATAAGTTGATTTCTATTTCTATATTTCTATGTCTCCCGAATCGAACCGTCCCGCTCGGTGGAAATGAGCCATAATATGTTGATTTGCTGCTCAAGAAACATTTCTGATTATCAATGTTGAAAACAGTTGTGATGCTTCATATTTTTT